AGCCTACTTACATATGGGATATTCATTTCAATCCTGAGAAAGTGCATATTTCTTGGATTCGTGAGTTGAATTGACATAGTATGGCTAATGTTACCTGGAGCTGAACGATATGCTGACAGAACCTCTGTTTGATTTAGACATAACAGATGATGGTGTATGGACCATTACGATTTTACATGCTTGTTTGTGTTCCCTTGTGTGCATTTTTCATTGGCTAATTTGTGGACAAGGAATACCTTATACTCCATATAAATGTATGCAACATCTAACCAACAAATAAACTACTTCTTGTGAGACAATGTTTCTACCTCCGTCCTCTCCCTCTCCTCATTTGATATAATTTTAACTTGCTTTTAGGAAAGTGAAAACTATAGGATTGGGATCTGTTTAGGGACACATGAAATGAACTTAGTGAGTATTATTTTTATTGTCAGTGACCCGACATTTCTGTTGGTGTGTTTTGTTATCCAGATTTAAACATTTTAGAGAGCGCGGCACTTGGTATTCTGGAAGCTGCATCTCATAGAGCCGGACTGGGAAAAACAACTCGATGTCATGATGTTGTCAGTGGTATGGATGTCTTAATCCTATCTTTAGGTGTAGTTTGGCCCAATGTAATGCGCTGCAATCAAATCAAATATTTTTTATTATAAATTTAGATTACACATGCATTTTAATACATTGCATATTGTTTTACCAAACTGCACCTACTAACATTCACTTCAATGGACTGCATAGTTCTGAAATGTACGTGACTGCTTTAAAGCCACAAGTTTAGTGAGGAAGCTTATATCAGAGGCTACCATATTTCTTGATTGCTATATTTTGTGTGGTTAATAAAAGCCGTTAAACAGGATGTAAGTCATTATCTATGTTTATTTATTTGTTGAATAAACTCCATTTTTGTTTCTCACTAGGAGCTCAGAATGCCTGGGATATGCTGCACCAAGAAGAATTATGTGGGCGAATCACAACATGTTGCGCAGACTTAGATCAGATATTGAGTGGGGGGATAAGCTGTCAAGAAGTTACAGAAATTGGTGAGTTTCTGAATCCCTTTGACAGAAGGATGAGATGTAGTTTTTTTTGGATGGTAATGTTTTGCAAAGAGTGTGCCTGATTCTTTTCTAAGTTCTTTTCTCTTTCTTCTTTTTTCTTCTCCATTTGAGGACATTAGGTGGAGTACCGGGAATTGGTAAAACACAACTAGGGTACTCACTGTCTCAACCTCTTATACTGCCTCCATATCTGTTTAATATTAGCTCTCTTTTCTCATGGCTAATATTTGCAGGATACAACTTGCAGTGAATGTCCAAATACCAGCTGTTTATGGTGGCCTTCAAGGAAAGGCAATATATATAGGTGATAACATTTACACCCTCCGTCCCACAGAGTTACCTTTTAAAACATACATATTGTCCCGAATAGAGTCTATTTTGACAAAATTTACTAATTTTGTTGAATTTAATGTAACTAATAAAAGTGTTCCAAACAATTTATGTGTGTTAAGTTTAGTTTGAATAGACAAATTAAGTTAAAAATAAGTATGGCAGTTTACATAAGCTGTAATTTAACAAAATAAAAACTTGTACCTGGATGAAACACAACCACTTATATTGGACGGAGGGAGTAATTTATATGCTAATGTCAATTGACGTTATCATCTCGAAGTTTCAACTGACACAAGAATTTTCCGTATTTTTTAGACACAGAAGGAAGCTTTATGGTGGAGCGTGTTTTGCAGATTGCAGAAGCTTGTGTTGAAGATATGCAAGAGTATAGCGGCCTCTTACACAAGGACAGACAAGCCCCTCAAATTATAATGCAGTCAAAAGATTTCCTTGATAATATATTCTGTTTTCGTGTTTGTAGCTACACTGAGCAAATTGCTGTCATAAATTACCTGGACAAGTTTGTCTCAGAACATAAAGATGTAGGTAGAGTAATATTGTTTCCTTGAAGTTTCCTGAGTGGTAGTGCTTGAAACCCCTGTGAATCTGTCTATATTATTTGTCACAGGTTAAGTTGGTGGTTATTGATAGCATAACTTTTCACTTTCGTCAAGATTTTGTTGATATGGCTCTTCGAACTCGGTTGCTTAGTGGGTTGGCCTTAAAGCTGATGAAGCTTGCAAAAAAGTGGAGCTTGGCAGTAAGTATTATTCTATTATTTTTGTAAGTAGTATTTTGTAGTATTTTAATCAACTTTTTCCCCACATTTCATTATGAATTTATGAACCCATTTGGTCATCATCATCATTTTCATTTACCCCAGTGCCGCAAAGGCTCCCACCTACGGTGGGGTAAGGAGGGGTCGGATGTGCACAGTCTTACGTGTGTACTAAAGCACAGAGAGATTGTTTCCGGATGACCCATAGTGAAAATCGCGTCCAAAGTTGCATGGACTGACTATTGCTTCATAACAAAGAAGCGCAGACAGTTTAGTGAGCCATTTTGCTTTATTCCATCACATTCTCAAGCCAAAAAATAATTATCTTTGGCTCCATTGCAAATGATGGAAAGTATGAACCCATTTGGTAAGGGTAAAATATATATCAAATGGGTGAAGTAACTTATTTGACCATCACTAGTGCCCGTTGGAGTCCTTATATTTCCATATACCAACCATATCACTTATCAGTTAAATATGTAATTATGCACCAAACTCTAACTTTTGCAAGAGATAAGTTGGTTGGTTATGAAAAAACAGAGCATAAGATGCCTTTTTGCTGAAAGATCAATGCAAATGACACTTTAGCTTTACCTTCATAAAATATTTTCTCTTCATTATCATGTTTATAATATAATGTGTGTGTTTTTAAATTTAGTCAGTTCATCAATTTAAGGCATTTCAAGTTTTCAACCACAACTCAAGCAACTTCAGCCATTTCAGCAACTTCACATCCATCAAACAGGCTCCAAATGGGCTGACGTTGATGAAATTGTGGGACCAAGTATTCAAGGAAATACTCGGTATATTTTTAATAAGCCGAAGAATATAATATGAGCGTAAAACTGTCTTTTACTCTTTTTCTTTTTGTTTCCTCCATTTCAACTTCCACAGGTTGTTCTATTGAATCAAGTGACGACCAAGTGTTCTGAAGGTTCATATCGATTAACTCTCGCCCTTGGTAAATCTCAGAGAACTTCTTGGCATCATACCTTTTCAATGTTATTAAGCTTGTCTTACTCACTAAATTGTTCTTAATATTAGGCGATAGCTGGTCACATGCTTGTACAAATCGTATCATTCTCTACTGGAACGGAAGTGAAAGAAATGCATATATCGACAAGTCACCCACGGTTCGATCAGCATGTGCTGCATATGCTGTGACTGGAAGAGGCATCCGGAACTCGGCATCGAGCTGTAAACGGGTTAAAATGATGTAATCGAGTTAAAATGATGTAAGAGTACTCACTTTACATCATGGTATTGCTTGGTTCTAACTTCTTCTAAGATAACACATTGTCGTCAGCTGGACCACTATGTTTAGATGCCAGAAAAGCCATGGGATGCAAAGAAACTGCTACATGTTTTTCTTCAAATATAGTTCTTGAGAAACGTAGTTTTGTAGAAGCAAAAGCTTCCAAGAAATCTTGCTTTATTTATGAAAACTATCCTAAAATGTTGTCATTTTTACGAAAACGTACACCAACCGTTTCGGGAAGTGTTTGTGAAGTTTCCGTGCCTGAAGGTGAGGGACACACCTAACATCAAAGTCCAAGAGTTTATGCGGAACATAGCTAATACGGAGTACATAACTAACCATTTAGAGATGTACTATATTTGCACACTTAAGTGGTAGGTACTACCTACCACCAAAATAAAGTCTTTGTTCAATATTACTGTGGCCAATGCAAACTTCATTAATCTTTGGTTCATGAATGATTAAGCACATCTTTTATTATTGGAAAAACTTATATTATAAAATTATGATATTCCAACATGGTTATGAACTAGGAAGATATCAAAGCTGAAGCACAAGCACAAGCCTAATTGTATTTGATCAATTGGTTAACAAAAAAATTCAGGCTGTGATTACAACTTAACAATGATTCAGGTTAAAAACGCGAGACCCCTGATAAGTGGGAGGGTTATTTAAGTAGGGTATAATGGTTTATAAAAATGGCATATTCTTGGGAGATGGAGAAGACCAATTCAAGGAAAATTAGATATGGTAGGTGTGAAGTTTATAAAAATATAATATCTTCCTACATTTGGTTTGTATATTAATGTACTTCGTATACAATACTACACAGTATTTACTTATTAATTGAACATTCAATTCAATAAGTAAATGCTAAACAATAATAAAATACTCCGATAGTCTGATATATGATTTTTCCATACTAGATCATACTAAATTAGGAGTGTTTGTAATTGCTTTTACTTTTAAAAAGTGATTTTGGAGAAAGTGCTTAATTAGTGTTTGAGAAAAAAGTGCTTCTCAAAAAATAAAAGATGATAGTGTTTAATAAAATAAGTGATTTTTGTGTAATAAAAAAGTGAAAAACAGTTTAAAACATTCCTCCAACTATTTCCAATTTTTAACTTTTAAGTGTTTAATTTAAGTAAAATTTGTCACTTGAAAACACTCATTTTAGATTTTTTTAAACCAAAAGCTCAAAACCACTTTTGTTAATTTTTTGCAAACACTCCCTAGATATTTTACAAAATATATTTTATAAAAAATTAACTTAAGCTACTATGAGTGCATTGTTATGGTATTAAATATAAAAATTGAATATAAGTTATTATGAACAAAGCTTCCATTTTATGACTAACGTTCATTTTAGATATAAATTTGCAACTATATAAATAAATTGAATAGATCAAACTAAACAAGATTATATTTAAACAAATCAATAGCTAAACATCTTATGATTTGATGATCATTGTGAATTGTGATAAAGATATTGCGAACATACCCAGAGTATAACCTAATACTTTGGACTACATATAAAATAAATAAATAAATAAATAAAAACTATAGATACGAAATTAAATACAAGTTGCAAAGAGCCATCGCCTCCGCCTCTCTCTCTACTCTCCAAAACTAACCAACCCGTCTCCTTCATTATCTTCATCCTGTGTTGACTGATCTCTCTCGCTTCGTTTCACACCACCAAACGCACCTTCCATTCTCTCTCTACCCCAGCCATGGCTTCCTCTTCCCTCTCCCAAGCTATCCTCTCTCGCTCTATCCCACGCCATGGCACTACATCCTCCGCCCCTCAACTCCGCTCCTGCTCACTTTCCCTCCCCAATTTCAACGGGCTCAGGGCCTCCTACTCCACTAGCCACCGTCGCGTCGTCCCTTCTTCCGCCGCCGCCGCCGCCATCCACCGCTCCTTAGCTGTGAGGGCGTCTGCTCCCGTCGAGACTTTGGATAAAACTGACACTGCCCTTGTTGATAAATCAGTCAACACCATTAGATTCCTGGCAATTGACGCAGTCGAGAAGGCGAATTCGGGCCACCCAGGTCTGCCCATGGGTTGCGCGCCGATGGCTCACATCTTGTACGACGAGTCTATGCGGTACAACCCGAAGAACCCCTACTGGTTCAACCGTGACCGCTTCGTACTCTCCGCCGGCCATGGATGCATGCTCCATTACGCCCTGCTTCATCTTGCCGGATATGATTCTGTCAAGGTATGTTTTTTCGTCCCTTTACCTATCTACCATTTACCTGTTACTTGATCTGGTCACTTTTTGTGCGGACCCTAAAAATTGACGAAAGAAACGATTTTTGAAGAAAATGGAGATTTATCATCTCTTTCATTTGACTTTACTTATAACGCGATCTTTTGTTTACTTTTTGAAAATGCCCCCCACCCCCCAAAATTTTTAAAATTGTACAGCTCTACATTTTGTATATATTTTTCTAATTAGCTTTGGACTGGACTATTCTATCCCCATTCAACAGTCTAGTAGTTCACTTTAAGAATTAAGTTACTGATTTCAAGTTCTGTTTGTGAAGTGATTGGATTTGGTTAAACAGTTCAGCTCCCATTTATATTATATGTTTGTTGGAATGATGTAAACCAGGAAGAGGACTTGAAAAGTTTCAGGCAATGGGGAAGTAAGACCCCTGGTCACCCTGAGAACTTTGAGACACCCGGTATTGAAGTCACTACTGGTTAGATTCTGCCCATGATGATACGTTCTTTACATATATTATATCTATCTATGTATCCCATGAAGTACAACGGAGAGGAAAGGAAATGCCGAGATAATTTCTTATCATTGGATTTACCACAAAATATGCAAAGAAAAGTGCAATATGTAACTTTTCTTTTCCTCCCATATTTCCCCTATAATTTCTTCCCTTTATTCTTTCCCTAGTATTTTGTGGGTTCCAAATGGAGCATATATGATGGAGTGATTTTCATCTTTCTCTCTTTCATTATAACCTTTTCTCCCTTTATATATAGGTCCTCTTGGACAAGGTATTGCAAATGCAGTTGGTTTGGCCCTTGCTGAAAGACATTTGGCTGCCCGGTTCAACAAACCAGATTGCGAGATTGTTGACCACTACACGTAGGATAACATCCTAGACTAAGTCTCATCATCATTTTTTTTCTCTTCTGTTGAAGTTTAAGTGTCTCAATGAAACCTAAAAATGTTAGGGAATTAAATTAGGGAGGAAAGTGAAGGGAAAGTTTGGAAGAAAATGTGTGTTTTGTGTGCAGACTTAAGAAATTTAATTACATGTATAATGTCAAAGTTTTACATTTTTTAATTAAATTTTGAGGTTCATATTTTCCTCTGTAAATCAGAACATTCAAAACATTAAAAAACTGTGTTGTCTTGTTTGATTAATGGAATGAATTGGTCTGTGCAGATATTCCATCCTTGGTGATGGCTGCCAAATGGAGGGAATATCAAATGAGGCTTGTTCCCTTGCTGGACATTGGGGGCTTGGCAAACTAATTGCTTTTTATGACGACAACCACATCTCTATTGACGGAGACACTGAAATTGCTTTCACTGAGGACGTGGTTGCTCGTTTTGAGGCTCTAGGATGGCATGTTATTTGGGTTAAGAACGGCAATACTGGCTATGACGAGATCCGGGCTGCCATCAAGGAAGCAAAGGCTGTTAAGGACAAGCCCACTTTGATCAAGGTTCTTTCCTTTAATAGTCAAGATTCTATACTCCTTTATTGTGTTGTTCTGAAGTATGCTAAACTTACTTCTTCATATAGGTAACAACAACCATTGGGTTCGGGTCACCCAACAAAGCAAACAGTTACAGTGTTCATGGAAGTGCACTGGGAGCCAAGGAAGTTGAAGCAACTCGGAAAAATCTTGGATGGCCCTATGAGCCATTCCACGTGCCTGAAGATGTGAAGAGGTATTACTTTTCTATCTTATATAATTTTGAGTTTTTGATGGTTAAGTACACCATATTGACTGTCTACTAGGTTTAGAACTAGACTAGAGCATATAAGATTGGGGTCAATCTCATATTTGGGAATCTCTGGGGTGAGTTTTGCCCAATTTAACATAGTGTATTATACCGGTCCGTCTGATGGTAGTTTCTTAGTACCCTACCAAGTATTAAATGGTTTGATAAAGCAACCTGTTTGGGGATGTTTGAAATTTGGTTCCAACTGTCTATCCCTACAGTTATCCACCTGGATTGGGTTGTGGGTGTGTTGAGTTTTATGCATCAGTTATCTTCGGGTTTGAGCCTGGTATATAAGTGTGAACTGTGAAGTCATTGAAGCCACCAATGACTGTTACGGTGAGGTTTAATCTGAATACAAGTGTTCTTTTTTGTGGCTTTGTGCAGTCATTGGAGCCGCCATATCCCAGAAGGTGCAGCACTCGAAGCTGAATGGAATGCCAAATTTAGTGAATATGAAAAGAAGTATCCAGAAGAAGCTGCAGATTTGAAGGCCATCATCACTGGCAAACTACCTACTGGTTGGGAGAAAGCACTTCCTGTGAGTCTTCTCATCCATTTCAGTATTTCTCTATTATATAGTCACTATTTGGCTGCATTAATTGGAAGAGTAAGCACAATTGTCAGATTTTTATTATTCTCTTTTTCTTTCATAAAGTTTAGAAATACAGCCAAAGAACTCTTACCAAAAGAGTCCATTTTTTTTTAAATCTTATCAAATTGCTGTGTGAAGAAGTAAAGAAGTAACTGTGTTATAAATTTATAATCCTTTAACATGTTATCCTCACTGATTCTGTGATTCACTTTTGTTCCAAAAAATTCCAGACATACACTCCAGAGAGTCCGGCTGATTCCACCAGAAACCTGTCACAGCAAAACCTCAATGCCCTTGCTAAGGTTCTCCCCGGATTCCTTGGGGGCAGTGCAGATCTTGCCTCTTCCAACATGACCCTCTTGAAAAGTTTTGGCGACTTCCAGAAGAATACTCCAGAAGAACGCAACTTAAGGTTTGGGGTTCGGGAACACGGAATGGGAGCCATCTGTAATGGGATTGCCCTCCACTCCCCTGGCCTCATCCCCTACTGTGCAACATTCTTTGTGTTCACCGACTACATGAGACCGGCCATCAGGATCTCTGCCCTCTCTGGAGCTGGGGTCATTTATGTCATGACCCATGACTCTATCGGTCTTGGAGAAGATGGGCCCACGCATCAGCCAATCGAGCACCTGGCCAGTTTTAGAGCCATGCCTAACATCTTGATGTTCCGTCCTGCTGACGGAAACGAGACAGCAGGCGCTTACAGGTTGGCAGTTCTCAACAGGAATAGACCGTCAATCCTTGCCCTCTCCCGCCAGAAGCTGCCCCAGCTACCTGGAACTTCCATTGAAGGGGCTGCCAAGGGTGGTTACATCATATCTGACAACACCTCTTCAGGAAAACCGGATGTTATTCTGATCGGTACGGGGTCTGAATTAGAAATTGCCGCCAAAGCAGCTGAAGAACTGAGGAAGGAAGGGAAGGCTGTCAGGGTTGTTTCCTTTGTATGCTGGGAGCTTTTTGATGATCAAACTGATGAGTACAAGGAAAGTGTTCTTCCATCTGATGTGCCGACTAAGGTAAGTATTGAGGCCGGGACGACTTTCGGGTGGGAGAAGATTGTGGGACCCAAGGGTAAGGCCATTGGTATCGACAAATTCGGTGCTAGTGCTCCTGCAGGGAAAATATACAAGGAGTATGGGATAACTGTTGAGGCCGTTGTGGCTGCAGCTAAAGCAACCTCTTGAGGTGATGGAGATATTTTTATTTTTTCTACTGTGGAAATACCCTATATTTACAATAAAAGTTTTTTCTGCTGTAATTCTTCTCTTTTTTATTTTTAATTCTATTGTACCAGTTGAGTAGCTCACTTAGATAGAGCAACGAAGGTATTAAGCCCGTCATTTGTGAATGATTGGTATGAGTTTGAACAAAAATTAATGATGTCAATTTTTGTAACTTTGTGTTTTCTTCTGCTTTTGTAACTTCATATGGTTGATAAGCAGATTAAGTAGGCTTTTTGACATTTCTGTTTGAAATTAATTTTCATAAACGCTTCTCGTTTGGAAAACTTAGGACATTCCGCCATTTGAAGCAAATAGTCTTACCAAGGGGTAAAATAAATGGTATTGAATTTGTGGGCCAAAAGTAATCAAATTAAAAACAATCATTGAAAAAATATACTTCTGCTAGTGAGAATGAAAATGAGGCCAAAGGTCTCAAAGTAGAACTAATTCACTTCTTTTTGCATTGGAAAGTACATCTCATCATCACTAGGGAGGTGTTTACTTCACTGCTAAAGTCACAGTTAGGTTAGTAAGACAGGTGAAGTAAACACGCACACTGCTTAAAAAGCCGCTTACTAACCGAAAGAGGTGCTTAAAGTGCCGTTATTAAGCATACCACCCCCATGTATTAATTAAGCGGCACTTTAAGCTTTTTCAGTTTCCGAATTTACCCCTTGCCCTTAACCTATTGTTATCCCTGCCCCACCTCGACCCCAACCCACCCTACCCCGACCCCACCCTACCCTTACCCCACCTACCCTGACCCCACCCTACCCCCGACCCCACCCCACCTACCCTACCCCACCCCGACCCCACCCCGACCCCACCCCGACCCTACCTAACCGACCCCCCACCATACCCTTACCTACCCCGACCCCACCCTACCCCTACCTTACCTGTCCGACCCCCACCCTACGCGTACCCCACCTTACCCCTACCCTACCCCATTACCAGACACCCCCTACCCTACCTAACTGACCCCCACCCTACCCTTACCCCACCTACACTACCCTTACCCCCACCCCTACCCTTACCCCACCTACCCTACCCCTACCCGACCCCACCTTACCCCTACCCCTACCCTGACCCAACCCAACCCTACCCCGTCCTACCCCTACCCGACCCCACCCTACCACTACCCTACCTACCCAATCCCACCCCTACCCTACTTACCCGACCACACACCTACCCTTACCCTACCTACCCCACCCCACCCTATCCGACCCTACCCCTACCCTACCCCCCTACCCCGCCTCAACCCCCACCCTACCTACCCGATCCCACCCTACCACTACCCTACCTACCCAACCCCACCCCTACCCTACCTACCCGACCCACCCTACCACTACCTGACCTCAATCACCCCACCCTATACCCCTTACCCCACCCCTTACCCCACTATACCTAGGGTGGTGGGGTCAGGGTGGGGCCAATGTGATAGAGGCGCTAGGGGCAGGGTAGGTGTGGTGGGGTAGGGGTATGGGTAGGGGCGGGGTTGGGGTAAGGTAGGGTAAGGTGGGGTCAGGGTGGGGTCGATGTGGTAAGGGCCTATGGGGGTAGGGGCCTATGGGGTCGGGGGTAGGGTTGCGGTAGGGTGGGGACAGGTTAGGGTGGGGTCGGGTAGGGGTGGGGTCGGGTAGGGGTGGGGTCGGGTAGGTAGGGTGGGGTCAGGTAGGTAGGGTAGGGGTAGGGGTAGGGGTAGGCGTGGGTGGGGTCGGGGTAAGGTAGGGTGGGTAAGGGGTTAGGGGTATGGGTACACATATTATATTATATACTTGTGTTCATGAATGTTTGTGTGTATATATATGTATAGGGTTATTTTGGACATTTTAATGTTAAGCGGTGTTTTAAACCGTTTGAAGTAAACACGGTCTTACAACATTGTTTATTTTATGCGCCGCTTATTAACACGGGTCTTAATAAGCACCGTTTAATAACCGGTGAAGTAAACATGTCCTAGGTGTTCATTTTATGATGTGGATAATATTTTGCAATTCATCTCTCCATTGAGGTGCCCTTAATTGCCTTCCTGATTCATCATTACTTGAATGGTTGAGAATCTTGAGATGCATTACTGCATTAGGGCATTTAGCATTTTGAGTGAAATGGTATTTTGCAGTTGGGTTTATTCACATGCAATGAGTTTGGTTTAGAGTGGACCCAGGCTGATTCCAGCCCGGTGGCTTTGGACGGGTTAGTTCCTGATTCGGGCAATTTTGGAAGGACAATTCTAAATGCAGCCCGTCTTTTGCTAAACACAGCCTCTTGTTTAAATATGTTGTATGAATTTTACAAACTTATCCTTTGACAAAGATCAATTCTTTCAACTGCTAACGCATAGCCACACTATCTATACTCTGTAAAATGTAAATACGAATATGTTTCCCGTGAATAGGAATCAACTCCGATCCTTAAACGACGCTCAACTATGAAGGTGGACAGACGGAAGCTATGGTGGCGGTGGAGGCGGCTATGGAGGCGGCAAGCCTATTTTAGGAGAGAAAGGTAGTATCAGGGTCGGATCTAGTCTGCTACGAGGTAGATCAGTCCACCCCCGTGTCCTCCAGTTGCTTACCTAGTACCCGCAATCCAGCTTGGCCGTCCTGCCATTCCGCTGCTCGGTAAATACAATAAAAGCCAGCCACCCGATTTAGTTCATCGTCTGGAATACCCTGCCGCCCGGCATGCAGTGCCGCTCTGTTTCAATCACCGGACATATCCGCCCGGCACGTTACCCCCACTAAGACCCAATCGCCGCCCAGCGGATTTGGAAAAATGTGGCCGTCGGCCCATGCGTGCTCCGTCCAGGGGGTTTATACTCCTAAAAGCAAACAGGGGACAAGAACTGTGCTTCAAAAGAGATGTAGGCTAAGAACAAAGAAAAAGAAGTGATAACATGAGAGATGATGGGTTGATGAGCAGTGCCGGTATGGGGAGAGGAAAACGATGGGTTGACAAAGTAGACAGAGGGGGGAGGAAGACGATGGGTTGATAAGCAGTGCAATTAAATGACTAGGGATAAAATAGACATTCTATTTATATTTAATTATTAATTATTTTTTATTAGGGCTGTGAAGTGTGAATAGCAATTATGTAGCTGTATTTAGAATTACCCTAAAACTCCGAACTGATTTATTACACGGGTAAACCCGTTCCAGACTTCCACTCTTGGTTTTGAGTCAGTTTTGGTTCCAGGTCAATATCAGTTTTAGCCCATTCGTAAAAATAAGGAAAAATTGATAGTAATAATCCCAACTATTGGCGGTACGCTCATAATAATCCCAACTATTGATTATTACAGAATAATCCCAACTTTAGGGACCTTCTGCCAATAATGGTCCTTATGAATAAATTCTTGTAGTTTCTAAAGTGGATGAGATGAGATATAACAAGTAATCCCTATAAATAATCTCAACTTTTAATTTTTACGCTTAATTTCTATTTAAAATTCACTTTTTATAGAGGTAATATATGGTCATGGACCATTATTGGCGGATAGTCTATATAGTTGGGATTATACAAAAATAATCAATAGTTGGGATTATTTTCAGCGGACCAGCAATAGTTGGGATTATTGTTTTCAATTTTTCCTAAAAATAAAAAGTTGGAATCAGAACTGGTTTTGACAGTTTTGCTCTTAAGTTGAAGAAACAGGCCACCTTAAAGATTCACTTGGTTCAGACTTCAGACTTCAGATCCGGTTTTAGGATGGAAACCCGGTCCATATTTACTGGAGCATACTTTTTAAACTCAGAATATTTTTGTTTGGACTGTCAATCCCAAATTAACTTGAACAATTATACGGAGTAATAAAATACATAAAATATAAAGACATCTTTGCTTTTAGTTTTCGGCACCAAATATAAAGACATCACTGGAGCTCAAATTGAGGGCTGTGGCCCCCGCAAAAATACAAAAATTCCATGCCGTGTTTGGTTGGTAGTGGGTAGTTGAGGCTTGGTTCCCCTTGTGGTAGGTCGAAACTTTGATTATCTACCTCGGCACCCCACTTCTATTATATACCTCCATTTTACCTATTTTAAAAAACCGACCCGACCCGGCCGGGTTGACCCGGAACCCGGTGACCCGGACAAAAAAACCGGTTCGGTTTTTTCAAAACCCGGAAATGGTCAAAAATCGGAAAAACTCGGCTGACCCGGGAAAACCCGGTCAAGACCCGGACCCAAGAAACCCGGTAAACCCCAGTTATTGGGTGTTTTTACCAAAAAAAGTAATTTCTTTTTTATTTTTAATGCATTTTTTATACCAATAAAATTGCAATTTCAATACCTTAAAAACAAAAACTACCTAATATACCTCAACTAGTGGGTAGTTGAGGCTTGGTTCCCCTTGTGGTAGGTCGAAACTTTGATTATCCACCTCGGCACCCCACTTCTATTATATACCTCCATTTTAGTTTTTACCTTAAATTTCTTACTTTTTTAGGGTAATTTCTTACTTGTTATTTCTCATAAAGATTTTCATTTCTATATGAAAAATTAACACTCTTAATTATGATACACATATAACATGATAACATCACAATTATCATCACAAGTTTAAGAGGTAGGTAATACATATTGGGGGTGTTTGGCTGCTAGCCTATCAGCTATTTTTTGGCTGTTTTGACTAATAAATGACATTTTGACCAGATGAAACAGCTAATAGGGTGTTTGGTAACATTGCTTTTTTATCAGGCTTTTTACAATCAGCAGGTAACTTGTTAAATGACTTTTAAGGACATTAATTAATTTTTTTATAATGTTGAAAGTTTTATTATTTAATTAAGTAATTGTACTAATGACATTATAAAAAAAAATTAATTGATGTCCTTAATAGCCATTTAACAAGTTCTCTGCTGATTGTAAACAGCCATTTTACCAAACACTGTTTTACAAACTGCTAATATTATTAGCTAATGAAATCCTCCAACAGAATTCGATGTCATAATTAGCCAACAGCTAACAGTCAACTGTCATTTGCCAAACGCCCCCATCGCTAATTATATTCCCATTCTCAATCAGGTCTCGTAACCTTGCCGCATTATCTGGTTGTTATCATTTTATTTTGTTATGCATTATCTTTTTCTTATTTCAACCAAATCTGATCAACCATTTTTTAAAAAAGTTCTACGTAGTAGTAAATAACCCTGAACAAGGTGTCCTTGGTTATTTTTAAATTAAACAAAATATTCATAACCGATGCAGTCTATTTTGTTTTTGATTTTTTAAGGAAAATATCTTCAGCCATGGTCGACAACTAAGTTTAATAAACTTTGGGAAAACTAGTTGCAACCACGGGTCATATTTTTTAAATATTCCAGTTTGACTTAACACATATTACAAGATTTCTAATGCAAAAAGATATTCTTGGAAAGTCGAAACAACACTTTAATTTACGTAAATATGTGTAGGTTAAACAAAACTACATAGCACTCGTATTATGTGTATCTATTTTATCTCAGAAGCAGGGCCGGCCCTGAGGGGTATAACCGGTGCGGTTGAACAGGGCCTCACCTGAAAGAAGGGCCCCAATTTTCAATAGATGTGTAAGGCCTATTACCCAAAAATTAATACAAGTATTTACATGGCTTTTTGAGATTCTACGCGGAAGATCGAGACCCTTGATAGTCCACAAAGCGACTCTTTGAAAGAAGGAACAACTAATCAATTACTAGATCTCTTTCTCTCAATCACCTCCTCTTTGAACCACTTCTCTCCTGCGCAATGATGAAGCTGCCATGGAATCACGGGCCAGAGGGAGAGACTTAAGTTTTTTGCATCTACGGTTACTTGTGGTTTTTAGGAACTCTGTTTGTAGTTCTTTTTTGTCTTCCATGTGTTTCTAATCGGCATACATATTGGAGGGATTTGGAGAAATAACCCAAACTACAAAAGAAAACAAATAACGATCTCAATTGTAATAGATATGGTTGAAAAAAAAATTACTTTATCGATGGAATCAAGCTCCTGTAAAACAAATGGGAGAGTTTGGGCAAATGCTCTGAATCCCTGTGATCTAGAAGATGTTTTTACTTCACTAGTTTTTAATTACTGAGCAACAAAGCAAGTGCATTTTAATTCTTAAGTGTTTGTAATTTCAATTCTTACCTGGGAGGCTAGGATTGTGAAATTGATTATTTAAATGTACATGTGCACCGAGATGGAGATTACTTTTCTTATTACTCCGTATGATATTTTCTTTATTAAGAAAATGAGGCCTCCTAATTAATTTTGCACAGGGCCTCTAATGAGTTCAGGACCGGCCCTGCTCAGAAGAAGTATTTGCAACTATCGAGCTACTTTTTATGTGGCTTTGTCACCAATCTCATTTAATTTCTTAATATACGTAGTACCATTTTGTGAAATTGTGACCTACTCTCATGTAGTAATGATAAGATTTAGACATAGCCTTTAAAGGATTTCCCTTGGGAATCAAAGAATGAAAGAAATGTATGGAGCACTAAAAAGATTTTTACAAGTCGAAGCTGTATTTGTGTTGTCTTCATATCCAAGACTATACTTTTTTTGTTTTTGACAAAATATCCAAGACTATACTTGGGAACTAAGAACCCAAAGCATATCTCGGGGTGGTCTTATTTCTCAAGATTTTTATAAATATTGACTTCAATCTTTTTTTAACATATCAAAAAGTTGTCGAATTTTCAAATGTTCATCCAATAGATATTTATGTTCCTTTTGAAGGATTTCAAAAGCACATTGATAAATACGTTTGCATCTTTAGAAAGCTTATTCAAGATTGTTTTGTTTGGAGCTTTTAAATATTGAGAATTTCTTTTACAAGAGTTTAATTCGTTTTCTAACAAATCACATTTACGTATCAATTCATCTTTTTTTCTTAATCATTTCAAACTTCTCTTGAAAAACCTTTAGATTCATAACTCATAAGAGTTTTCTTTTCCTCAAGAATTGAGTAAGGTCATGGTACATAGACATATCATCAAGTATAGTTCAAAGTTCTGAAAAATAAGTCCACAATCACATGTATAAGATGAATTCGGTACCTCATCACTTCCGCTTTGTTAAGCTTCAGAGTTTAGATTATTCCAAGTGTCTTGAGCAATTTTGCATTTCTTCTTCCTTTTCTTGGTATCTTTTGCAACTCCATACGGTCTATTTTGAAGGAAACGTGTTGTTAACGGAAATTAAAAATTAAGAAATTGAAAATTTATATATTGAAGAGCTTCTTATATATTTTATAACATGACCAACTCTGCAACTCATCATCCTCATTTTCATATTGAAGAACATCATTATGCTTTACGTACGGTCATTGTTTTACTTATGGGCACTTCAAGAGCTTTATCGGCTTATCGCTCATCACATTTCTCAAACAAAGACCATTTTGTAAAATTTAGCTCATTGTACAACACTTTAAACACTTGTTTGTTTTGATGATCGGTTAAAAACAAGACAATAAATACTTGTATAAGAATTAAACATATGTTACATGCATGGAAGAAGCAAATACACCAGAAGGGAGCAAAAGTCGAAACTAATAGAGTAATAGAAATGCTTTTCATTTTACTGGTAGCAATAATATATAATGCAAAAGTAATAAATAACTATGTTCACGTGGTTTAAAAAAAACAATGTTCACGTGAATTTCTAGCACTAAAAAGAATAACACTAGTAGAGTGTTTTTCATTTTAATAATGGTAACAATAATGTGAAAATAAAAAAGAACTATGTTCACATTAGTTTCTAACACTAAAAAGAATACATGCAGAGTTTTTCTGTGAGTGCGAGCTATTTTGTTCCAAAAATTACTACACATGAGTTTAAACTTTAAACTTTAAATTCCTTTAACAATTATACAATCATATTTCATAAAATCCTACATGTGTAAAATAGTACTCCTAATATTTTAATAAGCTATTATCGTAATTACATTATTTAATATCTTAAAATTTTAAAGGAACTAGACCGAGTAGAACTAGAGCAAGAACCATCACGGAACCATCCAGTATTAGGGGGCCATGGTGGAGTAGTTGTCATGCTAATATTGAGCCATGAACCTAGGCATGGACCAGGGTCGACCCGGTCCTGGGGCGAGACTGCTGTCCCTGCCATTAATATTTGAAGCCCGACCCCAACCTGTATAAATTCGATTCTAGGTCAGTTCCGAGTACCTGATCGGCCCGGTTCCATGGCTAAAAATAAAAATAACTAATCGGGACTAGTGATGGACCCGGGCCGGGCCGGGCCGGTTCCGGTTCGGGCCTGGCCCGGCCGGATTTTTTTTGGGAAGGGAGAACCGGAACCAGCCCGGGTAGGCAGCAGTTCCGGGCCGGGCCGGTTCATGTTATTTTTTTAATTTTCTTTTGATCAACCCCCCGACCCCCCCCCCCCCCCCTTCACCCCCCACCCCCCAAAACACCCAGCCCAACCCCGGAGAAACCAAAAGAATTGAAAAAACAAAAAAAAAAGGGCCCGGCCCGGGCCGGTTCCACTTTTAGGAGGCCCGAGCTCGTCCCCTTTTAATCCCGGTTGGGTGGCCCGGACCGGTCCTATGACCGGGTTCCGGGGATGGCCGGGCCCAAACAGTACCGGTTCCGGGCCGGTTCTGGACCGGGTGGCCCGACCCGAGTCCATCACTAATCGGGACGGAAAGCAGGACTATCCGGTTCAAGATCAGGTACCCTATGGCCTATACACCCAGTCAGGTACCCAGTCTTCATCGAGAACCGAAACAACGAAGCCGATCCAACACAGTGGTGGACTCAGTTCCGGGCGTCCGGCCGGTCTTAAGACTAGAAACAGTCCAAAACTGGAGGCCACTCCTACCACAACCTTGTCTTCCGTCTACTCCTTGCAATTGACAGAGGTTGAGATAGCCTAATGCATATTTTCATCGTCTACCGCTATTGCAAAAGTTTATGGTGCTCATGCACTTGGTGTACAATTGTACATGAGCTAGAGTTCAAGATTTAAATGTTTTTTTACCAATTACCATCATTAACTTAGTGACCGTTTGGTAACACTGTTTTTCGGCTTATCTGCCAACTTTTTCACCAAACATGTAATTTTTGCTTTCGCGCGTTGAATTGTGTAATAAGGAGAAAATGTAAGATTGAAGTTACTTTTCTGGCTGTATTTGCTGAAGTTACTGTAGATGACCATTTTAACTATTTTTACACATAATTTTTTCTTTATTTTATTAGTAAAATATATTTTAAAAATAATTTTTTCTTAAATCAGCAGAATCAGCCAATGTAGCCACTTCAGCCAGAACTTCATAAATTTCAGCAGAATCAGCCAAAACAGCCGATTTTTGTGCTACCAAACGGGCTCTTAATATTTTTTACCCGCTCAAGTTATTTATTTTCATCTACTTTCTCTTGCCCCACTAAAAAGAGCACATAATAATTTTTAATCCGAGAATATTTCCTAATAGGATTAAAAGACAAAGTTCATAGATAAGACTACCATTATTTTATTCTCAAAATATTAACATTCACTCTATTTTGGGAAGTGATAATTGGTCTAATTTAACATATTCTTTTAATAGAACTAAAGTCATATTCAAGTAATAAAATATACTTAGTCCTAAGGGTGGACCCGGTCTGGCAGTCCATCCAGGTACGGTATTGTTTGGGGCCGGACCGGATTCCTTTATTTACAGAAACGGTTCTCATAAAACACCTTGTCAAAATCAACAAGTGCCCTGAGTAATGTGAGACGGAGGTAGTAACTAGATAAAACCACAAGTAACAAGAGTGAAAACATTGCGGAAAGAAGGAAAGAACTCAAAGAAGGAAAGAAGGAAAGACGGAAAGACAGAAAGACGGAAAGACGGAAAGAAAGGTAAAAAAAATTGCGGAAAATCTCATGTAGTACGGAAAACATTGCGGAAAATCAACATAGTACGGAAAACAAAAAAGTTACTGGAGCAAGGTAAAAAAATAAACAAATGGAGGTGGCATAAACTGGGAACTCTTCTTTCACTCACGGCTGGCCCCGGCTTTCAGGATCTTATTGCAGTATTCTCCCAATGCCCATATTGGGAATATGTTCTTATAGGCAGAATATGATATCATGCAGTTCTTGTTGAAGACTCCTACTATTTCCTGAGAAATTCAAGAAAAAGAAATTATGAATGGTCAAATCTTATGTCATGCAAGTCAACAACCTTTGTTTCCATATTACTACTATACCAACTACTCAACATACCTTTGACTCATAAAATTATACTCCGTACATTGCAAGTGGGAAAAAACTATGAACATGCAGGTTTGCAAATCTCATCCATTTTTATTAGGATGGTAAGCATATTTCCAGCACCCTATTATGCCTAAGACTATTCTATATCCATGCCCAAATCATGTAAACTTAAAAGGTTATGAGGTTATCAACACAAGGAATGAGATTACGAGGTCAAAATCTATGAAGAGAAACCATTACTACCTGTTGAGGAAAATCTCCATTTTCCAACTGAGAATTTATTAATACTTTAGCAGCACGATGTAACCGAGTCAAATCCCTCTCAGCCTGCGAATTTCAAGCATAAAAATTTACATCTTTGGAGATCACATAACTAACATAAGTAACTTCACACATCATGGAATGGTCCGACAGAAATACCCTAATCAAGTAATCAGGACATTTCAAATTCAAGAAAAGATCTATTAAACATTGACATAATGAATATTGAAAACCTGAATATGCATAGTAATTTGAAATAGACATCTCAAATTAGGAAATCATTTTAACAGTAAACAAGATGCTCACCTGCCCAGCAGCAATTAGGGCCAACATAGCCCACGCTGTATGTACTACATGAGATCTGTTGCCTTGAATATTTGTATAAACCTAAGAGATTATTACAAAGAGTGAGAGCAAATTCTTTTACTAGTGTGTTTTAAGGAGATTCAGAAGCAGAAACAGCATTTCTGCATTAAACAAATTAAAATTTAGCATGAAGCCATGAACAGATAAAAACTGAATAATTTCTTCATCATCAGGATATACATAAAATTACTTTGTAAGCCTTCAGCGATTGATTTCCGGATAAAAATAGTGGCAAACAAGGTTCTGATCAGAGAAGATAGAACTTATTGGGGAAACGATTGATTTTTAGCTAAAGCTATTACATAGATTATAGAACAGCTTATACATTTTCCCTGTTTAAGCTTTTCAACCTAATGTTGTAAGAACTAAGAAGTCAAAGTTAATGATAAAAAGTAGCAAAGCATTGCATATTGTCAATAATACACATTCTACAGTACAGAAGAATCTAGTGTGGTATGGGCATCATTGACATACTGTAAAGGCTAAATTTGATAATTTGAAACAAGACGAGTTGCTTTGACATAAGAATGAATATGCTGAAGAACAGATCATAACACTAACCCCTGTACTACTAGATAGATAACTCTCCCCCCAGCCACCAGAAGGAAGTTGTTTTGACATCAGAAAATCACAAGCCTTGCGAATGCTGGAAGAATTGCTAAAGTTCCTTCCAGCAGCCACGAGGCCCAATACCCCAAACCATGTGCCATAAGTGAAGCAAACACCCCAAGAGCCATACCTGATCATTTGTATAATACAAATTTCGTCTTAGTACAAGCGAAAGGTAAATTAAAAAAAGAGACCACAAATGTTTAAGGAATAAGGATCCAAGTTTAATTTGTGAATGCATGATATAGAATATTTGCATTGATTATATAGTAATTCTCCGAAATAACAATAATGCAATTTCACCGTATTATTATATCACTCTGTAATGTGATGACATTGATAATTTCTACTCAATGTGTATGTGTTATGGGATCAAAGTAAATAAATTGAGTTCCCATTTGTGCATTATGCAACAAGTTTTTTCTACTGAATATGTTTGCATTACTTAATTATATTTCGAGAGCATTATGCACTATACCTCTCAAGTAATTCATTTTCAAAACCAAGATTGTCAGAGCATCTAGGCGCGACCCAGCACTAACGAACCACCTTGTCGCCTAGGAGACTAGGCAAATACATAGGCGACAAATAGCAGTGTGCAATATTTTAATTTAATATATTATCTAAATGCAATAAGAGTACTAAATATAGTACCTAGTTACTAATTTATCACTATGACAAAACAAGAGTCTAATATCAATTTCTAATACATTAAACTACAACACTTTAGCAAAAACTCAAAAAGCAGTGATGTGATTTATATTATTGATATCTAAAGTACAAAGGTAAATAAATAAATAAATAAATAAATAAATAAATAAATAAATAAATAAATAAATAAATAAATGAAAATGAAGAAAAGGAAAGATGATAGAATGAAGAAAAGCAAGAAAGTGCAAACATGATGGATTGCCGGGATTGGGCTACCGGATCATAAATAGATTTGGAAAAATATCTATCTTGGGCGTCCTACAAATGCCTAGTTGATGTCTGAGCGAGGCCATTCAATGTTTGGCGCTATTCAAGCAGTGCAAGAAGCCACGACGAGTGCTCTCCACCACCTGGATGCCTAAGCGTCACCTTGGCGATGCCATGACAACTATGCTCAAAACTGAACTCACAATAAAGAATCTTTGATTAAGAATTAAGAAGTAAGAATCTTAATTTTATTTGCTAATCTTGAATTTATTCATTTATTTTTTTATTGAGAAATGAGAATCTTAATTTTATATCCTTATATATGATAAAGAATAATTTAATTACTTATATATAATAAATAATGACATTCCGTGCTTATGTGGCACACTATATGCTCCTGAAAAGTTTCCCCTGTATATATATATATTGCTTAGATTTTTTCTGAAATAGATCCCTTTCTCTTCTAAAAACAGAGAGAGTAGTAAGATTTAAGGATTTAAGAAGAATCTTAATTTTATTTGCTAATCTTGAATTTATTCATTTATTTTTTATTGAGAAATGAGATCTTAATTTTATATCCTTATATATGATAAAGAATAATTTAATTACTTATATATAGTAAATAATGACATTCCGTGCTTATGTGGCACACTATATGCTCCTGAAAAGTTTCCCCTATACATATATATTGCTTAGATTTTTTCTGAAATAGCTCCCTTTCTCTTCTATAAACAGAGAGAGTAGTAAGATTTAAGAGCAGCAAGTCTGTAGACTGAAAAAATCATGGCTTGAACACTAGTAGAAACAGGTGACAATCAAAGGCAAAAACCAACCATGAGCCATCTGGTTTTTGAATCTTCTCAATGAACTTTGCAGATTTTTCAATTGAATGTTCCAATTCTTCTCTTCTATGCCCAGGGTACAATTTCTTAAATGCTGTCAACGCTTGAATCGAAGCTGAAGTACACTCAACATAACTGCATAGAGAAAAGTTTGTTTGAGATCAGACACATGATCTGAAACTGATGGAACAAACAAATGGGACATAGCTGGATAAAAAAGATAGATGCGCTAGACTTACGGGTAATCAATGACAATATCACCAAAAGTCTCAGCAGGGTTGATTAACTGCACAAAAAAGTACCTTAAGATCAGCGCAGGAGTATATAATACGTAGTCTAACATAAGGGCAGTAGATAGTAGATCTCTGTGTTTATTATTTATTATTCAAATTACAATAAATAATTGAGAACAAAGATGCTATAACTAATATCGCGGATTAACCCCCCCCCCCCCCCCCCATCATCATGGATAACTAAAAAAAGCATAAGGGAAGAATGTGAAAGAGATTTAATTGAACTGTATTTTGTAGATATGCTACCACACTTGAGTTTAAGTGAACAGTATTTTGTAGAGATTCAAACCTTTTATTTTAATTGGCCTATTGGTTGCGCACCCAGTTTAAGGAAAGATCATCAAACACATTTGCATCAGCACATTTGACAAATATACCCAAAAATACAATACAGTTCCTTCTGCATTTATTGCTTATTACTTTATCAGATCTGTCCTTAACTTAAGTGTTGGCCAGTTATTAAAAACGTCACCCAAAAATGGTTGATACTTGATATTAGAAGTGGAGGGAGACTAGTACAGCTCTAGTCAAAATCTATATACTGTTTAGGAGTAATATACGGAGTATACTTTTATGAGGAAAAGGGAATATAAATTGCAAATGGAGTTTGATTTCAGATTAGAATTTCTACAAACCAGCCTCCAATGGGTAAGTTAAGAGCACCACTGAATCAGCGCCTGAATAAGCAGAATCTATTGACTGTGCAAAGATATTTTTGTACAGAGCTGAATCATATTGTGCTAATGCAGAGTTGAACATGGAAACGTTGTGCCACAGGATGTTACCTCTAACCATGGATACGATCTTGTCAGTTCATAGGTCGCATAGCCACCATCTGGATTCTGCAGAAAGTACGCACAAAGGTAGTTCCTTTTCAATGCTTAAGAACGTTGAAATATACACAACATAAAAAAGAGCTAGTATGCAACAGAACTATGTAGATATAACGAACTAAAGAGTTGGAGTGTCTGGATCGACAGTCCAGAACTGTCAAACCTACTCATCTTACCACAGGTTGGTGAAAAGGAATGCTCATAAACTTGGAGGGCTACTGACCTCTAGATCACAATTAAGAACTACCACTATGATGCAAAACAGGCATATATATAGTTCAAAGGAAGAAAGCTCATGCAGAGGTTTGTTAAAAAGAGGTTTAGACTCTAACTTGTGTTGGAAGTTGGAACAAGAAAACATTTTCTGAAAACAGCATTATGTGATTTTATTAGCCTATCTAGGAAGACAAAAACCAAATGAGTTCTCTCACACCCTGGTGCTCATGAACTCTCAGCCTGCCTAAAGACACAGGGATATGTCAAAAACCACATAAACTTGATCAAAACTTAAATGCTTATCAGAATGTCCAAGAATACCGGTATTCAGTTTAGCTCTTAACTGAACACACTTATTATTGAATTTATGTGGCATCCATAATAAAATAACAGTGTGATAGTGGCATTACCTGTAATGAGAGTATAACGTTTACAGCATCAAACAAACCCTTGGTGTCTAATGGCTCCCCAACAACTTCTAGAGGTAACTTAGATAACGCCAAAGATGCCTATTTTCAGAAGGAAGAAACATTCACCCACCAATAAATAAATAAATGAGTAAATAATAGTAACAATGTCATTAAAATCACAATTTCATATTGAGCCAGTGTTGTGGAAGGAAGACCAAAGACAAGCAAAGTGACAGGACTTGAAAATTAATAATACTACATATTTACAAATTGAAAGAAAATAATTACTTTCAATCCCTCTGCAGTACAATCTGATATGGGCCATCCATGGTCTGCAGTTGAGAAAGGCCAAGCACCTTTTGAGATATGACGATACCAGCTACTGAGATTTCCTGGGCAGTCATCTAATACCTTTGAATCAAATGAAATACTAAGAACCATAAGACTAAAATTTAATAGGATCAGGTTATGGCATGACAAAAAAAAAGCTTTTTAGGAGAAAAATATTCCACCTGGGAGTTCTTAATGTATTCATGCGCTTTTCTCAAAGTTTTACCATATTCATTAACAAGGTCTGTAGATATGATTGCTTGAACAGCAAATGCAGCGTCCCACAATTGGCTGCCATTATATCCCTGTAATATGCTCTCAACTGTTAGCTATATCCCTACATAGGAGGAAAACGTATAAACAACTTCGTGAAAGAGTAAAAACTAAAAAAATCATGACAATGGATGCGATGTTAAGTGCATTAATTATAATGTCTCTTGAGAACAGTAGAAGATCATTTGTACTATTCCTCCACCTGCATTTTCATGCCATCTTCTGCAACCCAAATGTAATCAGAAAGTCTTGGAAGATGCAGTTTGAAAGCTTCTGACTCGGGATCTTCAACCCAACAGCAAAGCATATTTAACACCTGCACATGAAGAAAACGAAGTCCCATTACAAGAAAAGTTCCCACTACCACACTTCATTTCCTATCACCAATTACAATAATAATGAAAATTGGGAATAAAACAAAAAAGTCTTTGATCAACTAGATATATGAATTTTATTTCAATTCAACCTTCAATAATAATAGCATACTCAGCAACACATTGTTCTATAAGTAAAAACAATTCAACATGTCAGTTTTTTCAACCTTAAATAATAGCATATTTAGCTATTTAGCTAAATAATAGCATATTTAGCTACACGCCTACACATTGTTTGGCAATTACAAGTTTAAATGTCACAGCAGATACTTTGTTCTATAAGTAAAAACAATTCAACATGTCAGTTTTTTCACAGTGAATTCTATCGCTAATAGCTTCCTTAAATAGAAATTCTTAGAAAGGTTTGACTGGCTCTCTGAGCTAAAAAAGTATGAAAGTTCAACCGCTTAAAGTGAAAACTCGTTTCTACAAACATACTTGAACATACCTAATTCCAACTTGGGAAGATTCTATATATTCACGTATATGAATTGTCAATGTACAGAACTACAAATACATGCTTTATTAATTAAAATTTCAAGCAGTTTAGAAGTCCTGAAGAAACTGCCCCTATTATGTGTTCTCTAATCTACTACTACGAATATCCATAATCACGACAAGAATCAAACTACGAGGACCTAAGTGCATTGCATGTGAAGATGAAATCATAAAACACATTCAACTAATGTCACACACTTGTAGAGCATATAAGCCAAACCTTGTTCACAGGGCCAATGCATATGTATCTAGTGTTTTCATCTTCATAATGTATGTGTTCCATAACAGTTCGAAGAGCTTTATCTCTCAACTTTTTACCAGGCCAACACATCAAAACAGGTTCAACAAGCTTATGAAGTGCAGCCCAAAGTATGTCCTGTGCTAGAGGGTGAGGGTAAAAAAGATCTTCCTGCACCAAAATCACAAATCATTAATAGATGAAAAACAGTGTGGTTGCATAGGAGTACTACGTTTTTTCTCAGTAGGAGTATCATGGTTGGACAATAGTGCCATGTTAGGGAATTAAGACTGCTGCATTAATGCCTAATAATGCCAAAATATAATGGTATGATTTCAGGATGGCACTACTTTAATCTTATTTAGGTGAAAAACACAGTAACTTCTACTTAGTGAAATCACATCGTTTTTACTCCTGCTTTCAAAAAGTTCCCATATCAACCATGTGCATCTAGACATTTAAGCTGAATCTCTTCACTCGGTTCTCTACTTGTCTTTCCATGTTTTCCCTTAAAAATAAGAAAATGATTGTTAAGGCCTGCAGTTTCATGGTTGATACTCTCATCTACTATGATTCATATACTATGTTATATCAATCCGGTGTGGAACAAATCAGCCCAGACCGAGTTGGACAAAATCCAGGTGTACAAATGAGCCAATAAATGATCAACACATAAACGAGCAATCTTTTAATCATGAGTGCAAGATAAACAATCAACCCACAGCTGAATTAACTTTGATATAATATTAAGGCCTGCTGTTCCATCTTAAAAGGCCGAGTCAATCAAGTTGTCCTGAGCTAAAAAATTCATTCTAATAAATAAATATATAAGATTTTAGGTTACTCTGAGTCTCTGAGTCCTAATAAATGATCAACAACTTCAGTTGAAGTTGTCTTAGGAGGGATATAAGAATAAGGAGCAAACTGTTCACTAATAATGTGATTGAGATCTCACTAGTAACTACAAATATTGCTACCAAACAAGAACCTTTCTTTGAACTGAAAATTAGGCAAGTATCTTTATTAAGTCGGTCGGTAAGAGGCAAAGCCTGTACTGTAAGGAGCCTCAAATCAAGCTCCTTCAAAACGCCTATTTTTTCATAAAGCAAGTAGCTCCGTAGCTAGGCTACAGCACATCGCAAGAACATCAAGATCTCAGGGTTCTACTAGTAACCAGCAACAGGTTTGTCAATAATATATTAATGTCCACTCATTGCATGGGAAAGCAAGTTTTTGATCAGAGTGAAGAAGTTTTTATTTACAATGAGATATTCTATATTCTTATAGGATACATAATCGAGTTTAGTCACTCAATGAATCATAATTAACATATGGCAGGCCACACTAAAAGATTAAAAACAACCAATTAGCTTAGTTCAACTTAGGATCTTCTAAAATCTGAACCCATACTTCTGTCTTTAATATTTTGTTATGGGAACTAAAGGATTCTATGGATTAATGTGACAAGAACATATAGTTAAAGGTTGAAGTTTGTAGTACAAAGAGTGCACCAGAATTAGAAATTGAGAGTTAAATATGAATAATTTATAAGCACTCTTAATAGATTGGAGTACAAGCTTTACACACCTTTGCGCATTGGTTCCGTGCCTGGTCCCAGTTGATTTCATGATACATGACAGTGAATAGCTCCTTCCTCAAAGATAAAACTATTGGCGTAATTGGACCGACAAACCTTTTCCCATACAAGTAGGACATAGGCAGATAAACCATCCGGCAGTGGCACCACATTCTTCCTGTGAAATTGGTGGATGTTGAGGTTTCTTCAGAGGCAATAAATAAAACAACAACAACATTCCTATAATAAAATAGCTATGGAATTGACAGCTTCTGTCTCAAATGTTGGTTCAGGAATACCAATTTGCAATGGACCCTGACAATAGCAACTATTTCTACGCACTACCCTCTCATGAGTTTTCTATTTCCCATGCAAGTGGAAAAAAACTTAGGGTATTGATGACTTTGGAATTTCATATCCCTATTTCTTCTCTAGAAGGTCATGACAGGATGACATACAACTTTAGCTGCTTCTTTGCATGAACTCAGAGTGTTAACCGATTTTTTATAATTAATTGACACTGTTGAAAAGAGAATCTCAATTATTATCAATTCATACTTTGAGTACCAAGAGTTCCCATATATAGAGGTTGCTCAATGAATTTAGGCATGATAACAATGCTGATGATACTTATAAAAGAAAACATGTAATGTTGTTGACCTTGATGTAGTGATGATGATGATACTTGTGAAAGAAATTAATCTCCTACACTCAAAGGTACACTTAGTTTTAAAAGGCATGAGGCGGCATGAGACATTTTTGTTCAATTTAGCCGAGGCGAGGCAGAGGCACGCGCCTCATGAAACTTAGCCATGTAGCTTTGCCAAACTACATTTATACTATTCTACATGACGCCTTCTGACAAAAAATTATACAATCACATTAAAAAATGACGCATATTGGAGGAGTAATATAATACTAAGTAATACTCTAGCTTCTTAAATAGTAAAATAAACTGAATCTATTATTAATAGTAAAAAGCTCAAACAATTCTAAACTGATACTTATATATATTGATCTGCCTAATCAAACACAGTTATATAACAATCTGGCTATCCAAGCTCAGTTATCTGATATATAAGGACAATTTGATCATATATAAACTGAGCAAGTAACATATATAAACTACTACTTATATATAACAAATTTATCATGTCTAAATTGAGCAAGTAACATATATGAACTATTACTCATATATAGCAGTTTCATAATATATAAACTGAGAGAGTAACATACATAAAACCATATATATATAGAGCATATTAATAATAAAAAATTAAATGTACAAATTGGACAGCTATAACCTGGGTGGATTGGAATAAAATACGGAAGAAGCCATATTTCTGGAGGAAGAGGGTTATTTCCTGACCATTCAAATACGCCAAGCACCTAGGAGTACAAAGTCCAAGTGTTATGGAAGTCAAAGTAGTAGTAGAGAGAGATAAACTAACCAATAAATGCAAGATGAACTACAGTACAACATAAAAGTTAAAAGTACGGAACTGAGAGCCACATTTTTCCCCACGATGTTATATATGTGGCACCACCATGATCTAGAATCCATTTCTGGCCCTTCTCCATTGCCCCACCTCCATCATTAGCTCCCTCCCCAAGGAGTCTTAAGGTAACATAGCTTAAAACAGAACCCAACATGGTACTATGGCTTTCAATATGCAAACCCCAGCCACCATCACTATTCTGCAATTCGATCAATATATAAAACATTTATCAGAAAATGAAAAACCACTATAGTTCCAAATCGAGTTTTCTATTTCCAAAATGAGTTTTCTCTTGCCTGGTGATTGTAAAGATAACGGCACATCTCACGTCTATGCTCTTTTGATAACACCGTATTCAATGCCCCAGTAACAGAAAGAGCAATTACCTATTTCATCAATATTTACATACATATAATTTTATACATTTAGCATGTTCATAAATTGAGATAATATACAAGTTCACATCTAAATGCAGGAATTAATAACATAGTCTTTATAAAATCACTATGTACGCACTAACCAAACCAGGCATTAAAAACATTGGACCTCCATAGTCTCCTGGCCAATGACCATCTTGAGCTTGTATGCTCGAATGAAAAGTTACTGCCCTTTTCAGGGTTGTAGTTACTTTATCTCTTGTAATATCTTCATTGTCCTTTACTGTTACTTGAGGTAACAGTGTGCTTACCGGGTTCTCCTTAGCAAACTACAATCCAAGAAGCAAAAAAAAAAGTCAGAAGAATCGTAGAGCACCTGATTTTGAGAAATTGTCAGCTTGCCTACTGCCTAGCAATACGTGGAAATGCAACAGTCATTTAGAGCTTCTCAGTAAAAAATATGCTCTTCCCTTTCAGTAATTTTCCACTAAATAGTCAAATTGTTCAGCGAAACAAAGCAGCTCTTGAATTTATATTTAACTATTTATGTTTGATAAGATATCAGAGCTAAAGTGTGGCATGAGGCATTCACTAAACAACCACCTGATAACGCATTAGAAGATCCCAACTGTGTTTCTGTTGGAATCTGTTCTTGCGAAAATTCTCACGGAACTTTTCGATCTCCTCCAATTCTTCGGGAGTGCCGAGGTTCGGATCGAAGTCCCAAGTCTGACGGCCGGCGTGGCTGTTCAGAGTCCGCAGCCATGGGCTACCTCCTTCTGCTGTCTTGAGCTTCCACATTATTTATTAATCACTATAACAACATTCATCTGATGGGCAAAATACACATAATGAAAAATATACTATTGCAGTCGTTCTCAAAAATAAAAATATCTGGAGATTCATAAATCATACTCCCTCCGTCCCATTTATATTGTCCCGTTTTACCTTTTCGGGAAGTCCCACTTAAATTGTTTCATATCATATTTGGCAAAGTTTGTGTGGCTCTAAATCATTCTTACTTTATTCTTACTTTAACAATTAATATCAACCACACAAACCCACTTTTCTGACACCCTCTTCCATCCCAATATAAATGGGACGGAAGTAGTAGTAAAGTTCACGATGTGACTTCTTACCAGAATCATTATGGTTACATTCACATTTATCTTACTATATTATATACAAAAGGAGAACACAATCTAGCAATCTAGCATTGAAAGTCAGGCTGCTATTTGAGCAGTCAACTATTATTGGCCCAATGTTGTTGAAAAGATAAATTGTCTAATCACATATTGGAGTACAATACTATGCCTCGGAAAACTGTACACCATTGAATAAAGTCATCATCACCAAAATAACTTTTTCATTATTAACAACTGAATTCAATTGCACTTTCCATTCCACATAAAAACATCAGTACCAATGAATGCGTGATAAGAAACCTATTGCATACAGTTTTAAATGAAATCAGGCTGTTTATCTATGATCATATTGCATAGTGAATCTACTTTATCAAAATCTACACATCAGAAATAGGTCTTCAAGCATCACAGAAATAACTTTATAAAATCATCATCATCATTAATTTAAAATAACTTGATGTTGAAGAATAACAGTAAACCAATACCTAAACTTTGGGTCAATTTCAAACTTTTTCTATGCCAAACTCATAAAGATTTTATGAACCTCATGACTTACAAATACTTCAGCTTTATTCTTCAAAATAACACAGAATCCAATAGATCAAAAGTAACTATGGTAGCTGATTTTAAACTATAGCAGTACTATCCAACTAATTTTAAATTCAATTTTCTCTTAAAATAAAAGTCCAAGACTCATTTCTTTCTCGTGTAAAACCTATGATTTACACGAGATGCAGATTTTAAAATAGAAATTTTTTACCTTCCCATCATTATCTTGAATAAAAACAGTGTTCAAAATTATGCATTGCCGAATTGAGGAGTTTTTTCCAAGGCGTATTGCTTAAGCCTCATTGTGCATTGAGGCATAAGGCTAAGATGTAAATCTTAATGCGCAGGAAAAATTTCTATAAAAAAATTATACTCCGTAACTACTAAAAAATAAAAATTCATTCAAAATAACATACGTAGTATTTAATTACCAAACTAACAATAATGTCATAAAATAATGGAAATCGTGAGTTGAAAATGACAACATAGAAATTGTTTATTCTAAGATTCTGTGTTTTTTATTGACGAATGCAAAAGAGAGTTGCTAATGGTAATATTCAAACATGATTTGAAATTTTAGTGTAATACGGAGTACAAATTAAAAACAAAAAATCAAATTAAATGAAACTTAAAGCTTCACTAAGAATAAAGGAAATTTTTGAATATAAATAATTAAAAAACATACCCTAAAACAGAGAAAACATAATAAAATTTTTGGCAAGAAGTAATTTCGAGCCTAGACAAACACTAAACTAAGAAATGGAATCTATCTGGAAATCCTCTCAAGACACACCAAAAGGATATTACCTGCGGCGTATCAGAAGTCCAGAAGGATACTTCGAAACCCACTCAAAGAAATACACTTTTTGTATACTTAAGCACGCCGACGCACGCCCAGGGACAGGCGAATGCAAATAAGAGCAACGCAGAGGGACGATAAGGATACGCGCGGACAGGCGCAAAGCTTACAAAAGAGCTGGTGTAAAAAAAATATTTGTAATACTCAACAGAGAGGGATAGATGGACTGCCACATGTAGGGCTGTGCATTAACCGGGTCGGACCGTATTTTAGACCTGAACCGGACCGGAATGACCCGGTCCGGGTTTCGGTCCTTAGTTTTTCAAGATTCCGGGTTTCCGGTCCGGTCCGGGTCAAACCCGGAAAAAACAGGTCCGGACCGGAATAGACCGGTAACCTTTTGTTCCATAAAATATATACTTCGTTTTGAATCATTAGTCAATTTATATTTGGCTTACTACTATGTTTATGGCTTATTTTTGCCTTTTGCTATATAAACAAATATATACGGAGAGTGTATTTGGTGTCTAATTATTTCCTAAGTTGTTTATAATTTTTTTTATGTAGCAGGTCCTAAGTTTTTTATTGATCGTAGTTTATATTTGTTTGATTTTTCCAAATCGCTTTTTATTTGTTTCTTTATTTGCAGGTGTGTATGTATTTTATATGTAGTATATTTTTGGACGTAATTTAGTTTTTATTACCCCACAATAAATTTTGCCAATTTAATAAACAAAAGATTGTAGTTTTAATTATTGTGGGATACTAATTGTTACGATTGAATAGTTTTGATGACTATATTCCAAAATTAATAAATGAGCTAAACAATATTTAGTCTATTTAGCATATCCGCATATAAAATTATAGTTTGAAACAACAACATCCAAGTCTTATTCCTAAAAAATTTGGGGTCGGCAAAGAACACTCTAAGATAATACTCCGTGTGTCTTTTTTTAAAACCGGGTCAATTAGGGTCAAACCCGGACCGGACCGGAAAATTCAGGTCCGGACCGGTCCGAACCGGTTAGATTCAGGTCCGGTCTTCGGTCCATAGAAAATGATGATTCCGGTTCCGGTCCTAACCGGTTCCGGTCCGGTCCGGTCCGGTTTTGGACCGGTGCACACCCCTAGCCACATGCTAATCACAGGAATGAGATAAGTATTCTGGTCGTGTGGGCCCATCTTTTTCACGTGATCCGGAGACTCATGTCTTGAACTTATTTCAGATTCAGACTTTGATAATGATCAAACACATAAAACAATCACGAAATTAGACCAGATCATATATCAGAAAACTTGAAAGTGAAAAACATTTCATGTCAAACTCTCATCTCATGTAGGGTTGTAAACGAATCGAATCGAACCGAATACTTGATAATATTATTCGTATTCGTATAATTATCGAATATTCGTATTCGTATTCGTTTAAAATTCGAATCTTATTTTGTATTCGTATTCGATTCGTTTGATATATTCGAATATATTCGAATCTTTTCGAATCGAATTCGAATATTCGAATTCAAAAAACATTAAAGTTAATTTGTGAAAATAATTAAAATTATGATGTTAGTTTGCCCCTTTTAACTCATTTTCATATTAAATATTTTATAGGAAACAAAATTCATTTATAGAAGTCACTTCAAATTTAATATCAATATAGATAAATCAACGGAGAATTTTAATTGTAAATTAAGCTATTTTGACCCGGTAAAGTAAGAATGTTTAAATTAAAATATGCAAAATATTTACATGAATATTTTGTTATTAATATTTTTACATTGAACTATATGTATTCATAAGAAGTAGTATATATTGTATGAATATATATATATATATATATATATATATATATATATATATATATATATAGATTTTGGTTCAGGTGAGAAATGCATCTAATGTGAGAAATGAGAATGAATCTCAGCCGTTGGATTTTCGAAGTTGCACTGAAATTGGCTTGATGTTGCAGTAATATTTAAATTTTGCACATGTTGCACTACAACTATTTCATATTGCACTAATATTTGACGGCGTTACACCGAAATAGCTTCATGTTGCACTAGATATGTGTAATACGGATTTTTCAGAAATATTTACAGAAATGCCACCGTGCTAGATTGCATATTTCAGTGCATCATGAAGTGTCTTTTACTGCAACTTAGTTGAATCCAATGGCTGAGATTCATTCTCATTTCTCACCCAAAGGGTTCTTCTCACTTGAACCTTACCCTATATATATATATATATATATATATATATATATATATATATATATATATAGGGGAAAGATCAAGTACAAAGTGTGCTTATTGTGCAAATGTTTGTACGATGCACCTTGACGTTATTTGCATTGCATATTGAGGTTCAAAGTGTTGCATATTATACACTCATAAAATAGTAGTTGCACATTAACGTTCAATGAGTTGCACCCTAGAAAAGTTAGGTTTTATTACAAAAATGCCACATTGCCTTTATATCCTTTAGATCAACTCATCGGATGGCCAAGATAAGTTTGTACTTTGTAAATTAAGCATGATTGTATTTGATCTCTATTCTATATATATATATATATATATATATACACACACACACACACATATACGTATATATATACATACACACACACACATATATATATATATATATAAAATTCGAATATATTCGAATATTATTCGAATCGAATATCATAGTATGTGTATTCGTATTCGTAAAGTATTCGAATAAAAAAATAGATTTGTATTCGTATTCGTATTCTACTTACTCGAATTTGAATCGACATTTTCGAATTCGAATCACGAATCGAATCAAAATTATTCGATTCGTTTACAACCCTAATCTCATGGCAATTTCCCGGATTCAGCACTAAAAATTACGGAGTAAAATTTTAGTTTTTAAAAGCAAATACGGAGTACTCTAACCATTATATGAGTCCCCAGTTACTTTCGTCTTTCATACCTGCTGAACAGGGAGTCGCCACTTAGGAAGCACGGACTCTACGGCTGCCGATACCGTAGGAAGCAAATCTGGACTGGAGAATGCCGAAATGCCTATACCAGTCTCTTCCCTCGCGTCTGGCCGTTCGCTACAAGTCCCAAACTCCAAGTCGGACTCGGACTGCCTTTGCCCTTCCTGCCGTCGACCGTCGTTGCGGAGTGGGAAGATTGCTAAGCTTTCGCCGACTAGCCGTTTGCCGATTCCCAAGTATTCACTGTTCAGTATCTCCCGCTTCAGTTTCAGAGTGGTCTGCCGATGGGATTAAGTGCGGCAGTCTAAAGGGATATCTTTTACAGGGAAAGACGCGTGGATGCCGATAAAACCCGTCTCGCTGGAGCGAAACTATGAGCGACGAAGACCAGCTGAGTCACTGAGTGTGTAGAAATATGAAATCAAATATTATCTCACTGATTCGGCCATGGACTCTGAATCCGGATCGGAAATCGAAGCGAGTGAACTCCGGAAGCACCGAAATCTGAAACCTAAGCCACAGAACTCGTCGATTCAATTTAATGGAGCCTCATATGCTTCTGCAAAATCTGAATGAGATTGGAGAGTATGAGTATGAAGAACAGGAGAAGCTTAATAACTTAAATGCGTCTGGGAGTGAGGATTAATGGGGAAGAGAGAGGTGGCGTAGGTGATAAAGCCCCCGTCCCATTACTGATCCTACTAAATCGTTAGCATGTGCCAGTTCTTGCGAAGAGTGGCTGGAGTAACGGTTAACAACCTTAGAAATACTTCCCCCATCCTTTTTCGAGGACAGAATTGGAATGGGATTGACAGAGCAGGCTGACGATAATAATTTACTACTATTTATCTTAGGGAAAACTGTGAAACGGGTACTCGAACTTTCATAAAAAGGTCAATTAAGTCCTTCTATAGGAGGTTCTGTCCGGCCGTCGCGATTTGGGGCAGTTCCCGGTGGAATTTTTTGATGAATTTTTTTGAGCATCTTATTCACCAAGTCTAGTTTACGCATACCAAATTTCAGCTAAAAATTCAATCGGGAACACATTCAAATTAATTCTTGAAGATAACTGCGCATTTTTGCGTTCTCGAATTAATTTGAATGCGCTCCCGATTAAATTTTTAGCTGAAATTTGGTATGAGTAAACTAGACTTGACAAATAAGATGCACAAAAAATTTCATCAAAAAATTCCACCGGGAACTGCCCCAAATCGCGACGACCGGACAGAGTCTCCTGTAGAAGGACTTAATTGACTTTTTTATGAAAGTTCGAGGACCTATTTGACAGTTTTCCCTTTATCTTAAGCTGCAAAATTGTCCTTTCAACAAAATAAGAAGTTGCAAAATTGTTTTGTGGTGATTCATTCTATTCACCTATATCAATTTTTGCAAAGTACTAAATTAGTAAATTTTAATTTCGTATTATAGTTTTGTAAAGATTTTAATGTAATTTTTGAATATATAAACTTTTATAAATTAATATTTAATTAATTATTTATAGGTAGTATTTGACTTTAATGTTGCTTTAAAAATATTAACTTTGCAAAACAATTTGGGATAGAGATAATACAATGATGTTTAATGACGTTTAGGCATTATGCTGTCAAAATAAAAAAATGTCCAAATATTGAGGTCGTTTGGTAACACTGTTTTTCGGCTTATCAGTCAACTTTTTCCCGAAACACGTAACTTTTGTTTCAGCGCACTGAATTGTGTAATAAGCATAAAAGGTAAGGTTGAAGTTACTTTTCTGGCTGCATTGGCTGAAGTTATTGTAGACGGCCTCCACCCACCTCCGTTGCATCCACGGTACAAACGCTCCATCTCCCTTGATCTCATTGTCGTCTTCAATTGTTGCCTCCCTCGCCATTTACCTCGTCGCCCCCATCTCCATCTAGCTCTTCTTTTTTGCGTTTTTGTATCTGTTTCAAGGTATACGAATGACTCCGACTGTAATAGTCAGATCTAACGGTGGCGCTGGGTGAATTGCAAGAGGAGGTGTGGTGGTTGCCTTGTTGGGCTGGAGGACTAGCCGCGTTCATCATCATCCATTCACGCCAAAAAGTTTTATGATGATCATACTGACATGTTTCACAGTTTAAGTGACATTCAAAGTTGGCATAACATAAATAGTAAAGACATGTGACTATGACATAAAATCTGGCAACGACATCACGTTTTTTCAAAAATGTCACATTCTTAATCACATTTTTTATCTTGTATAAAATTTGTCACAATTTTGAAAATTGACTTCAATTTAGTAATAATCAAGAAAAAACCTCAAAATAAATTATTTAAGTTGTAATCGTAAAATAGAATTAGTCATGAGTCATAATCCGTAAATGAATAATAAACATGAAAAATCAAATTCCTAAATAAAAAAACAAGATATGTAATAAAATTAATACTGTAATTCCTAATGGGAGTCTGATTTTGCTCATCCAGCAAGGAGGTGAACATCACTCCTCCCTTCCATACTTGTCAATTAGCATTACAATTCCTTTTCGTAAGATTATTATAACTTTTTTTTATTTATAATCCAATTTACAAATATATATATATATATATACCATATTTAATACGGATTAACTTTTTACGATCTTTTCAATGATATCAATATTACACATGAATAAATTTATATAAACCATATTTAATACGGAGTATCTATTTTAGTTTGACTTTTTTTTACTTTTACATATGCAATATTGGTATCATATGAAAACTTATAAACAATTATAAATACTAACATATTCTTTGAACAAACTAAACCAAAAAAAAATACCATCGTCCCACTAACATTGGGACAAGAGGAGTAACACGATAAAGTGAGTTCATGTAGTTGATATTGAATTGATAAAGTAAGAATAAACTATAAATGATTCAGAATCAAACAGACTTTACTAAATTTAGTAGTAGTACGGAGTATGTGATAATTTTGGTAAGATTTCCCGAAAAGAAAAAGTAGGACAATTTTAGCGGGACGGGAGGAGTAACAATCACAAAATAAAACTAGTGCCTATGTATCATAAAACTTGATCGACTTTCTTTTTTGGTCATTCCAAAAACTTTGTCATTTTCATTTAAAACAACTAATTCTCCATATGTAGCTAAAATTATTTCTCTTTTTTGCACAAATCTCAATTACCAGGGGCGGAGTCAGGGCACAAGATAAAACTGGGCCGGTACAAACAATTTTTTGGAAAAAATTTTACATTGATGTTTTTAAACTAAGAGTAGACATCTTCTAAATTTGGGCTAGACCGTGACAACAATAATTGACCCTAGCTACACCCCTGTCATTTGCACAATTTCTACTTTATTATTTTACGTACAAGTCAACTTTGACCAAATGTTATAGGACGAATCTGAACCAAATAGGTGGAGTGATGATGTTGACGGGTGAGCAAAATCTTTTCCTTTAATGGATTACAAAAATTATGGTTGCACACACTCTTATATACCCACTTTTATACTCACCCATGTTTGTGAAGGTTTTTTTTGTCTGTGATGTCAGTTCACAGACAATATTTTGTTTGTGCAAAATTTGCACTGAAAAATACCACATATTTTGTGTGTAAACCGGACCACAGATAGGCATGTCAATGGGTCGGATCCGGGTCTGAACGTAGCGTTCCAGACCCGGACCCGCTAACTTAATAATGGACTTGGACCCGACCCGTTTATCCGACGGGTCTGAAAGTTTGGACCCAAACTCTGACCCAATGGGTCTCGGAACTAGGTAGGCATGGACCCGGTTCGGGCCGCCCGGCCTGGGACCGGCCCGGCCCGCCACTGTGCGGGCCCGGAACCGGCCCGGTTCTCAGGTCCGGGTCCGGGTCGGGCCTAGGCCCGGTGGGGGGGGCGGGTCCGGGCTCGGGCCTTGTATTTGGCGAACCGGCCCGGCGGGGCCCGGACCCGGGCCGAATTGATTTTTTTTTTAATTTTTTTTTTCATTTTTTGGGGTTAGCCGGGTTGGGCTTGATGGTTAGGAGGTATTTGGGGGTTTGGGGGGTGGGGGGGGTGAGTGGGGGGGTTAGGAAAGCAAAAAAAAAAAAAAAAAAAAAATTATGACCGAACCGGAGGCCCGGACCGGACCCGGTGGCTACCCGGGCCGGTCCCGGGCCTTCCTTCCCAAAAAAAAAGCCCGGCCGGGCCCGGCCCGGAACCGGAACCGGCCCGGTCCGGGTCCATGCCTAGAACTAGGTCGGATAGACCCGTCAATAAGTATGATATCCACAATATTATAAACTTTGTGAAAATAACAAGACTTGTATATGAAATGTAAAGCAACGTGCGCAAACTTAAAAGCAAAATATATCTTCACTTTCAAAAAGTATCAAAATTTTTCATAGAAAATCAGTACTTTTATTCAGTACATTAAAGTATCGATTCTTGTAGATGCATATAACTTGACACATTGTTTCACTTTCTCTCGCACAGAAAGCTCGTAGAATAGAATAGAAATTAGATCACAAAAAGGTCTTTTGAACTACCGACAGTATAAAAACATACTCCGTATTATACTTCCTCCTTCTCGTAAAATTTTACCAAAATTGACCCGCATGTAGATTAATAAAGTAAAAACTGTGTGATTGAGATTTGTGCAGAGAAAAGAGAACTGACTATTAACTAGAACTACAAATTCTTTACTTGAAAGGGAAAGTGACAAAGTTAGTGGGACATCCAAAAAAGGAAAGTTGGTAAAGTTTTAAAGGACGGATATAGTATATGATAATGATATAATAATATTAATATTTAATAGTAAATATTGGCTTTGCCTACTGATCTGAATACACACTTTATCATCACGTATAAACGGTGAAAATGGGTAGTAGTTTTAGGATATCTCCACAATCTGACTCATACAATAGGTATGTATTAGCGTGTATGTTTTTAATTGACGAATTACAACTAACAACTTTATGTATTATTATGTGTATATATGTATGGCTAAAGGGTCAAATAGGTACATGAACTAATTTAAAGTGTTCAATTAGCCCCTTATATAGGAGGTTCTGCCCGGCCGTCGCCAATTGGTGTGGTTCCCGGTTGAATTTTTTGATGAATTTTTTTGAGCATCTTCTTCATTAAGTCTAGTTTACCCATATCAAATTTCAGCTAAAAATAAAATCGGGAAGGCAGTCAAATGATTTTCCGAAATGTACTGCGCTGTTTAACTGCGCGGTTATCTTCAAAAACTCATTTGACTGTCTTCCCGGTTGAATTTTTAGCTTAAATTTGGTATGAGTAAACTAGACTTAATAAAGAAGATGCTCAAAAAATTCTACCGGGAACCGGTCCAATTGGCGACGGCCGGGCAGAACATTTTATATAAGGGGCTAATTGAACACTTTAAGTTAGTTCATGTATTTGTATTAGTTCCTATATTTTTTATTTGAAGTATCATGACTAATCATTTTATGTAATGAATTGGTGTGACTGCGTGTGTACTAATAGTCTAATACAAGTAAGAAATTTTAAACGGGTCTGATCCTTAACGAGTCGGAATCATATGTATCATACCCGATCCGTTTATTAAAAGTACTAACGAGTCCAGATCTGGTAAACGGAATAAAATATAGATTCATGCCCGTTAAAAACAACCGGGTCTGGGTCGGGTTCGGGTCTAGACCCAATCCATTGACAGACCTACTCACATACAAAAAGAAACTTTCACAAACATGAACGTGTATAATGTGAATACAAATGAGTAGGGGTGGGGAAAACTGAACCGAAATTAACCCGGAAACCGACCCTGGACCGACCCGAATTATGACCTCGGTCTGAGTTTTCCTTTTTAACCGGCCCGAATTAAAAAAAAC